CTAATACTAATTATCTTCTTTTTAAGGTTTTTCTACTCCTTTTATTCTCGATTTATCAGTGATACAGTCAATATTAAATAGCCCTCCTTTACATGTGTATAGACGGGTTACTATGATATAATCTTTATAATTTAGCTTAGTTTTTTAATTTGTTTTAATTTTTTACTTGTAAATCTTTTTAGATTTTGCATCCGGTACGTTTGTTGGGTATGTCTTCTCTTTGTTTTTTTTTTTTAACTATGATTTGTATGTTATATGGATTATTACTAGATGTCGTTGATGTTTATTGTAGATTACACCTCGAGCTCCATTGGTAGATCGTTGGTTAGACCTTCCTTAATTATCTTATGTGCCATCGATTTTTCTTCTAATTGAAAAAAAAATTGAATTTATATTTATATAGGCCTTATATATTTATTAAGGAAATATATATTCAAGATTTAGTGGTAATTTTCCATTATAATTGTATCAGATATCTTATATTAAAATGTCAATAATTTCGGCCACAATATTTCTATCGTAATCTTATCGTAAACTTTTTTTTCCAAATATTCCATATTAATCTTATCGTAATATTTTTTTATTATTGTTTTGTTATATGTTAATAAAGATATGTTAAACCCTAGATATTGAAACCCTAAGTATTTTGTACGTGTATATATATACGTCTAATTTATTCTCCTCTTCATCTTCTCTCTCAATTATTATAGGTTTTGTACTCCCCTCTCTAATATCATAAGTTCTCTTTATTTTTTCTGTTTGTATGTTAGTGTTTGGTCAATCATCATCCATATATCGTCTCTCTTAATCATTAATGTTGCTTATGGTTTGGTGGTTTTTTTAAAAATTTCCTGTTATTGATTATTTTATCATCTCTTTAATACAAATTATCGTTTCTAAAGCCTTCGTTATCTTATCGGTTATCTCACCACCAAAAAAAATCTTATCGGTTATCTTATCGGGTATACACTAAAACGTGTACTATACTAAATCATTAATGTTGCTTATGGTTTGATTGTATGATTGATATTTGTTATAATTGGTCGTTGGCTTCCTCTTTTCTTTATGAATATGCTTCATTGTATGATTTATATATTTTGATCGTTTATTTGTTTTGATTAGTTGATGACCTTTTCGTTATTTTTGTCTATTTTTTTTTAATTATGAATATTGTTTTTGTTCTCAATTCCATTATAAGCAAGTAAATTTAAAAAGAAATTGTGTATATCTGTTATGTTATGATTCAATATGATTTTCGTTTGTGTATATCTGTTATGATTTAGAATAATCTCATTTATATGTAACAGTTATCATGCTCTTATCAAATTATTATATAGATAGATGTTTCGAACATTACTCTATGAAATTTCATTACTCTATGTTTCTCTATATTTATCTTGGAGGAAGTTCGATTAGTACATGTAGT